GGGTTTTTGCCCCCGGCCCCGCCTCGCCGCCTGTCCGGGCTAGAAGTTCAACAGGTGCAGCGGGGAGCCGCGGGGCCCTCGGCCTGCGGAAATTCCGCTTTTTCATCCCGTCCCAGGAAGGGCCGCGGCATCCTGACCGGGCTGGGCGAGGAGAAGACCCCAAACCGTGGGGCTGCCGCGTCCAAACGCTTGCTGTGGGTCGGTCGCCCTGCGGAGAACGCTTTCAGCCGTAGTAAACACTGGCGGCTGCTGTTGCGCCGCCACTTAGAAATCCAACCGGTGGAGATTCGCTGCCCCACACTACGTTCGGGGCCTCAGATGTGTGCCTGATGCTGAGGACTAAAGTTCCTCCTCGCTGTTATGGCAAAACAGTAATAATGAGGGAGAACTTCCTTCTGGGAGATATTCCAAAGCCGTGATCAAGGAGGTCTTTTGGTCCTGCCATTTCTCCCTGTTTCTAGCATTAATTTTAGGGCAGTTAACCGTTCACACCTTTCCTTTCGGGATAGCAGTTCACCCACAGCAGCTTACCAGTAAGCTAAGGAATTGTTGCGTTTTCTCTTTACCGGTGAAATTTCGCTCCTTTTTTTCCAGCCGGTCTCCAAGGATCCCGGAGCAGGTGGGAAGATGGAACAAGAGACGTGGGACGTTTTCTGCGTCCCAGACCGTTGCTGTTTCTTAGTGTTTTTGGAATACTTGCGTTATTATCGAAGATGCTTTTAGCCTCTCCGTCCCTAAAGTCCGAAAGCCAGGGGAGGATGGTTTGAAAGGGCAAACTGCTTTTCCTGCGTTTGGAGAGAAATCCTGTAGAGATCCTCACACTAAAAACTATTCCGTGGGAGCATTAACAGCCTTGTGGTTTTTGGAGAGGAAATAGGTTTGAAGATGGGGAAAGTGCAGAGAAGCTTATTTTCTTCCTGTCAAGTTCTTGTGTTTTCAGGAGAACATTAAAGAAAAGTATTCAACAGGCACCCCCCTTTCTTTCTGTTGTCGAGATGTATCTTCTCATGGATATGAAAAATGGGATGTTTTGAGGGGAGGGAAGGATTGCAACGCTATGGGATTAGCCAAAGATTAGGTAAGAAATATTGTTGAGAAAACGCTGGCTTGTAGGACATTATTGTAAGGACAGCCACTTCACGCACAATGACTTTTCTCTGGTGGGTCTCACGTCTGTATAGTAGTCTGTATAGTAGTGATGTGCGTCGTCTGTAAAAACAGGTATCTGCATTTAACCCTATATACATAATGTGCTGATTTGGGATTTCCTGCGGCATGAAATAAAAGTCTGTGATTGCCAAGGAACAGCAGGAGTTTTAAATTCAGGTTGTAGGGAATTTATCTGTTGAAGCCTTGGTGCTGCTCCTAAAAGGCATTTTTTCAAAGTTGCGTTGCAAATTGCAGTGCTTGGCAGTTTTTTTTATCTTCCAGGGGAGATGTTGATGTCTCTTGTTCGATTTTCCAAGAGCCTGGAGGTGCTGGTTGGCTTAAACTGATTGCGTGGTAGTCCTTTCACAAGGAAGTAATCTGTGTAATGTTCTGCTTGTCACCAACAACATAAGCTTGGGAGAAATGTTGATTTGAAAAGTGGTACCCACTTGAAGTAGAAAAAGCTTAATTTCCTTTCCTCTGTTTGAAGGATTACTTTTGGGCTTGTCTATTAGCATGGCTATAGGTGAATTCAGTATTGGCTCTCTTCCCCCAGCATAAATGTATACGAATGCAACCTGTTTTTTTGTGTGAAAACTTGCCTCATATTACCTGACACATTATGCCTTTGGGGGTGGCTGTATTACATTTAAGTTTATCTTGCCTTTTCACTTTCAAGTGCAGGGAAATGACAGCTGTAAATCATTCAGTACAAGATGGTACATCTTCTGTTGTTTCAAGTCCTGCCATTTCTCCCTATTTCTAGCATTTTATGACAGTTAGTAGTTTACATCTTACCTTTCAGGATAGCAATTCACCCACAGCAGCTTACAAATAAGCTAAGGAATTGTAATTACAAACATGGTAAATAGTGCACGCAGCCAGGCTGAGAAAGGATCGTGCGTGAGTTTATGTGGCACGCGGTGTTTCCCCACATCGATGCTGCTTGTGGTACAATTGGCGCAGAGGCATTGTGGATGCTGTGCTACTTGGAGCGTGTTCTGCGATCAGTTTCCCTTTCTTTTTGCTGCTGTAGATGCCATGCATTAGTATTTGCATTTCCATAGTCAGCCCAGCTGATCGGAGTAAGACCTAACCCAAATGTGTAGGGTCTGTAGGAGTGTGATGATTGGTTGGAATTCTGGGAATTGTAGTCTCCCCGCATCAACATGCCATCAGTTTGGGAAATGGCACACTGGCGCTACAACAGCATTTCTCAAATATTTTGAATTTTCAGGTTGCCCATGGCAGACACTTGACCTTACCTGGAACAAGATGTGCTGCACATCTGATTGTATTAACTTTAAAAAAACAAAAACCATACTGATGGTTATCTTTAACTTTCCTTCAGGGGTGTAAAAAATGCCAGATGGGGGAAAGGCAGTTTTGGGAGAAAATATGTGCAGTGTATGTGGGTTGTAAATACTTGATATGTCTCCCACCTTCTCCCCCCCCCCCCTTTTTGCTACTAGATTGCCACACTGGAAACTTACACCTATCGTGGAGAGTCAGGTTTTGCCACTCTGGCTGCGACTTCTTTTTTAAAAAAGTGGGTATTTTCTTTTTAATTTGCTTTGTCTATAATGATTTGGTGGTCTTCAAGACAATAGATGTGTTGCAAACCTGGATGACTGCTAGGTGACAAGAAAGAGGTACAGAAAATGCCAGCTGCTCTTCGGATTTTGTCACCCATATATAGTAGCTCTGTATTAGCCATGAAAGTGCAGGTTCTTTCTCTTTGCCGGTGTTATCCTCTGAGCAAAGGGGTACAATGTGATATTTAAGAAGTGTTTCCCTCCCAGCTCAAAGTGAGGTAGGCAACAAGTAATGCTTCCTTAGCCAACCTAATGTTTCTGCGTCTGGGAGGAGACACAGCTGCTTTAAAGGGTTGTAGGCCACTGTTATGAGTAGCTTTCAGAAGCATTTGACAGTCCTGTTTGATCGTAGCTGGTGGATTTATGTATTTATTTATTAGATTTATATCCCACTTTTATGTTGTGCAACTCAGGGTGGCATACGTAATGCTCTCGCCTCCTGTTTTCCCTGCCACAACAACCTTGTGGGGTTGGGCTGAGCTTTGGTGCCTAAGGGAGGACTGGAACGCAGGGTCTCTTGGTTTCTAGTCCAGTGCCTTAACTGCTACACCAGAGTGGCTCTCAGGATGACGATTATATCATCAGGTCTGTGATCCAAGTGATCAGAGGTACTCACGGGATCAAGGCTCTTGCCAAGATGGCAGAAGCAGAATCACGCTGTTGCCATGTAAGTTCCACTCTTTTCACAGGTCCTCTTGCTGCGTCTACAGAAGGGACACACTTCTTTCAGTATCACCCTCCCTGCAGACACCTCTGGATCTGATATAATTAGACAGAAATACAATACAGTAATGCACATTAATTGCTGTGGCCTAGCCTTCCTGTGTGAACTGCCTGGACAAAATGCTGTGTGGTTTCACTCAAGGAAGGGCACAAAGTGAATGTCAGCTAGATACTGTACTTCTTGTAATGCACGTTTGGCCTTATCTGTATTTCTACAGGGGTTTTAAGATTCTGATTCACCGCCTGTGACTTCTGCACACATCAGTACCAAAACAATGTCAATTCTAAGAAGCAGCTTGGGGTCCTCAGAGAGTAATATTGCGCACGAGCTTTCTAGTGTGCATGAAATATTTTCAAGTGAAATACTGCCTTCAAATTCAACAAGTTTGACAGGAAAGAATGGGTACCAGGACTCCCTGTACCTCAGTGCCGCTCACATTTTTCAAGGCATCCGTAATGAAAAAGCTCAAGATAAAATACTGGTGAAATACGGGATTGGGCCATCGCCATCTCTTCCAGACTTCAAAGACGAACAGTTCCAGCGTTTGTCCTACGAACTGGCGTTCAGTGCTCTAAAGTGTAAGTAGAAAATGCATTTTCAGGCCTTTCCCATTCTTCTTGAAGTTATCTCAAATTTATACTGTGCGTGCAAAGCTCTGTGTTGTGTTGGAAGGCCAGCAAGCATCAATGTAGTCTGATTCTGCTGAATATTTATTTAAAACATGCTGCAGTGTTTGATCTTTCCTCTGTATATCCCTTGAAAATTAGGTAGTTTTCATTAAAAATATACACCAGGGTTTTATTGCACACAAGGTCCTCAGTGGTAGCGAAAGAAGAAAAGGACGAATTCTTCCAATGTTTCTCAGCTCCCGGGAATCAGCTCTTGGCTAGAATAGAATGCAGCCTTTTGGCATCTCCCTTCTCCCTCCTTCAGTTAAAGGCTGATGTTGCACTGATGGCTTAGCCTTCCGTGCAAAAGAGCAACAAATAAAAGCCGCAGGTGCGCGCAAACCCAGACACGTGCCTTAAAACAGTAGCGCTTGCTTCTGCTTTCCTCGGTTTGTATTTGAGGCCAGTGGAGTTTAGCTCATTCCACATCCAGTGCGGATGACGTATTGTTGAGCTCTTCCTTATCTCGGGTAAATGCCAGCTCATCAGCAGTATCTGGCTCCTCAACAAAGCTAAGTAGGATTGGGTAGGACTTGGATGAGAGACCACCAGGAGGGCTAGAGAGGGCGGTTGAAAAATGTCCTGGAGGAAGGAAGTAGCCAGTGGAAAACCACCTCCACTTTGTTGCCAAATAAACTTGATAGAAACGTCCATGTGTCACCGGGAGTCAATCTCAATTCCGTCAAGTCCATTATTTCAAGAAGGACTGGAGTGCAGATGGAGTTTGTCAGCTGGGATAGCCATCTGCGTGCCCCACGCTCACTGTACGCTTGTTACTAACTGTGTGCTCTCCTTCCTTCCTTTTGGCCGGACTTTGCACTTACGTGCGCATTTTGCCTTCCTTGGCCTTGACCTCATTAGATCAGGGAATTTCAGCTTTGACCTAAATCTTGAAAGACCCCTCTAGTTTTGCTTGTCAGGTCTTAAAGAGTAGTTTTGATAGGCTTGTGTTTAAGGCTAAGCAGTATCCTACAACTTTTCTGAAGACCTTCCTTACTAACTTAGAATAGCGTGCTGGTCCTTAGGCCCTGCAAAATTAGCAGGAAATAGCTTCTACTTGAAAGACATGGTAGATCACAAATGGGAAATTACCAGGATCAGGTGGGAGGTGCTAAGTGGAAAATAATTAGAATTTGTCTGAGGGCATCCAGAGGAGGAGTCATGTGCTTTAATTGAGATGCTATGTCTGCCATCTTGTAGATCCCCCCCATGGATTTTTCTTTTAACCTGGTTATGTGTCCAAAGGAGGCTGATGCAAGATTTGCATAATTTATTATACGCCTCTTTTGCTGGCATCCCTGTCAGAAAAAATTCTGCCAGGTTTTCTCATACATTTGTTGAAAAGCGGACTCAAGGCAAAAATAGTCATTTTTCTTGATTTATTCGTGATTTATTTCTAAATGTGTGTCTTGCATAAAAAATACTCCCCATACAGGGTTCTATTGGCAATTGCCAACTATGTGAATGTGTTCCCTCCCACCCCCAAAGTCAATTTCTTTCAATTATCCTGAAAGGTCAATCATTAGTGAAGGGGGGCTGGTGAGAGTTACCCTTGGCAACTTGCTAAACAGAGATAGCTATGTCTGAATCAGTGTGCCAAAATGCAGAAACCCAGTCTGAGTCCATGGAAACTCCTGAAAATATGGTAACAAAAGGCTGTCTCACCTATGCAAGGGGAAGAATCTATTTCTTCCTGCAGTAATAAGTCACCTCCATGGGCGGGATTGAATGTAACCCAACAATTAAGTGGAAAAAAGTACACAGTTCTAACATATATCTATAGACAGGGTCATGAATTCAGAAGTGAAGCTTAAGGAAGTGTTGTGATTTCCTGATCTTGGTGCTGCAGGGATGACCCAGACCTTTGAGAGACAGGAGATAGTAATGTCCTTGTAAGGTATCGTGTGTCATGGCATCTGCTAGCACCTAGCTAAGCTGGGCTGATCTTGAAAAATCTATGTAGGATCGGATGTGGTTAGGGCTTGGATGGGAGACTACCAGGAGATCCTGGGACAGTAGGCTGGACATGCTTGGGAAACCATTCTCTAAATAAGCTGATGAATACAAGTGAATATTTGTGTTCCATATGAAAGAGACCTTGTACCTTAATTAGTACAAAAGATCCCAGAATGGAAAATGAAATCCCATACAGTATTATCACTTCCCTGCACAGTCAGAATTTGCCAAGCTCTGCTTCTGCTTGTTAACTGCAGCTCCGTGCCGGGATTAGCAGAGTGTAAAAATAAGAGCAAAATGTCTTAACAGTCTAGTAGGGTTTAGAACCCAAATAGTTATTTTCAGAATTTTTTTTAGACGTTTCAAAATGTATCTGATCTCTCCAAGATCTGCAAACTTTGTGATAATTTGCAGCGCCTTTCATTATCTTTTTTTCTCTCCTGTAGATCAAGATGTTTTGGAAAATATATTGATAGACAGTGGCGTTTATCCATTGCAGTCAATAGTGAGTAGATATTTAATTCATCCTTCAAATATTAATCTTGTTTCCATTACAGTATACTTCAAGCAAATCTTATCTAAAACCCATTGGATTTCACCTTAAAAAAACTATGATTTTCATATATTGCTTGGATGTTCTCTCCCCCACCCCCCCGTTAGACTGTTTCCTGCTGCCAGCATGGTAGCATTGCTTCCAATGTGTAGAAGACATCAAGGCGTACTGTCTTGAAATCCCTTCCTCTCCAATCTCTCCGCTTTGTGCGGGGTTGGGGGAAGGGTCAGGCAAAGGAGAGATTACCTACAGAAATCACTTGCTTTTTCTCCCCCCTCACAGAGCAGAGAGATTGGAGAGGAAGGGATTTCAAGAGAGTACTGTAAGCTGCGTAGTACGCCTGTGGCTTTTGATATGTGGAAGAGCAAAGAGCTTACTCTCTTGCAATCCCTTCCTCTCCAATCTCTCCGCTCTGTGAGGGGGGGAGAAAAAAACACAGGTCAGGCACAGGACAAAGCGTACTGATTGTAATGGTGATCACATGACTGAGGGACGGTCACATGCTGTGACGGTCATAAATGTGAGGTAGAGTTATTTTTTCAGCACCAGCATACTTCGAATGGCCGCTGAGCAAGTGGTCGGTAAGCAAGGACTACCTGTAGTGCCAATATGTCAGTGTGACTGTAGAGGTTTATGTTACGATAGTGTATTTGCTGATTGTTGAATCTTTCGTTGGATCTTTTTCTTGGAAAACCCAGTGGTCTAACCACTGGATGAGGATGAGGAAACAATAGCAGAGGTTCAAGAAGTTGAGCGTTATCTATGCAGGTATATCTCCAAAAGGAGATACACCACAAGGACCAGGTGTGCTAGTATCATATAGGCCCCTCTCCAACAATGCTAAATCTCTCTTTCGAGAGGACACCACAGCTGTTGGGACATTTCACTGGAGGCTTTTCTGCCTGCATCTTTTAATTCATGGCCTACTCTTAGCTTTTCCAAGAAGAGTAAGCCTCTATGTTTGCTTTTCTGACCATGATTCAGAGTCACCTTATCTGCAACATTTGAGGAGTATCTTTACATCCCAGAGGGAGGAAACGCTGCAGGGTTAACATCTTCCGTATTTGAGGGTGGCTGTTGGGCTGTTTCGTTTCGATGTTTCCTGGTCTTGATGTGCAACTGCTCCTCTTGCAGTCAGATGACTTGACCAGCTTAGTCGTGGTGATGCTCTATGATCTCCAGGATCGGAAGTTTGAAGCTCGCTCTGATCTCGAGGATGAGGAAACGATAGCAGAGGTTCAAGAAATTGAGCGTTATCTATGCAGGTATATCTCCAAAAAGCACATGCCTTTTTTGTGGATTGCTGGCACTGAAATTTAATTTTTTTCCCAAGTGAAAAAAAGACGCCTGACATCTTCTTATTATTTAATTATCATCTGCCCTATATAAGTATATACAGTGGCACCTCGGGTCACGAACGCTTCTGTTCACGACCAATTCGGGTCACGAACAGCATCGTTCGCAAAATTTTGCTTCCGTCCGCGAACTCTGCATCGGGTGGCGAACAGGATCCGCGGCCATTTTCACTGCCGTGACACGTGGTCGTGGCTTCCTGTAGGGAGGGGGACTCTCCCTC